ACTGGACACAGTACTCTGGATGTGGCCTCACCAGGGCTGAGTAGAGGGACAGGATCACCTCCCTTGACCTGCTGGAAACACTCTTCTTAATGCACCCCAGGATCTCATTGGCCTTCTTGGCCACAAGGTCACACTGCTGGCTCATGGTCAACTTGTCGTCCACCATGACGACCAGGTCCTTCTCTGCAGAGCTCCTCTCCAGAAGGTCAGCCTGTACTGGTATCTGTGGTTATTCCTCCCCAGGTGCAGGACCTTGCACTTGGCCTTGATAAATTTCATAAGATTTCTCACTGCCCAGTTATCCAGTCTGTACAGGTCCCTCTGGATGGCAGCACAGCCCTCTGGGGTATCAGATACTCCTCCCAGTTTGGTATCATCAGTAAACTTGCTGAGGGAGCACTCTGTGCCATCATTCAGGATATTGATGAATAAATTGAACAGGACTGGACCGAGGACTGACCCTTGGGGGACACTGCTAGCTACAGGCCTCCAACTAGACTCTGCAGTGCTCATCACCATGCTGTGGGCTCTGCCACCCAGACAGTTGTTAATCCACCTCAGTGTCTACTCATCTAACCGACACTTCTGGAGCTTGCCCAGGAGGATGTTGTGAGGGACGGTGTCAAAAGCCTTGCTGAAGTCCAGACAGATGACATCCACCGCTCTCTCCTCCTCTACCCAGTCAGTCATTCCAACATGGAAGGCTATCAGGTTAGCCAAGCATGATTCTGACTACTCCTGAGCAGCTTCTTATCCTCCACATGTTTGGAGACAACAGCCAGGATGAGCTGTTCCATGACTTTTCCAGGGATGGAGGTGAGGCTGACTGGCCTATAGTTGCCTGGGCCCTTCTCCCTGCCATTTTTGAAGACTGGTATGACATTGGCTTTCTTCCAGTCTTCTGGCACCTCCCCCATTCCTGAGGACCTTTCAAAGATGATGGAGAGCAGCTTAGCAATAACATCTTCCAGCTCACGCAGCACTCTGGGGTGCATCCCATTTGGGCCCATAGATTTGTGGATGTCAAGTTTCCCTAAGTGCTCTCTGACCTCATCTTCCTCTACTCAGGGCAAGTCTTCCTCTCTCCAGGCATCTTCTCTCATTTCTAGGTTCTGGGATTCCAGAAGGTTGCCCTTGGTAAACACTGAAACGAAGAAGTAACTCTGCTTCTTCTGTGTCTTTCGTAACCAGGGCACTCATGCTGTTCACCAGCGGACACACGCTTTGCCTAATTTTCCTTTTACCATGAATATATTTGAAAAAGCTCTTCTTGTTGTTTTTAACATCTCTTGCTAGATTTAATTATAGAAGCTCACGGTCCAGAAAACTGATTATTTAATGAGTTAATTTTAGTGGATTTTCCTCAAATCCCTACGTTCTTGTGAAATCATCAACAACAACATACCAAAGCATATATACTTTTTGATCTATACATGGAAGGCTTCCTGAGTGTGAGCATGGTGCACTTTACTTCCCACAGATGTATCCTGAATGCTCTAATTTACCTCATCTAAAAAAGTTATGGTGTTGTAACTTGCAACAGTGTTGTAGGTGCAACACTACTATACATATACTGCAGAAACAAAATCCAAATGTGATTGAAATCATCATATATGTTGATATATCCTGTATGTAATAAGCACTTCCATGCAAAAAACATCTATAATAAAACACAGAAAATGAAGGATTTTTCAATAATCTGTTCTGAGTACACTATTATCATCTTCAGCTGTGAAATTTAATTGCATGTCAAATGTTCATTTTTTTTTCTAGTGGGTAGATTAAATAAAAGAAAAAAGTTTTGCTGACTGAGATGATAGGCAAGCTAGAAAAGGTTAGACAAAGAAGAGATCTGAGATAAGGTAAAATTTGACTGGTGTTTGAAAAAAATGAAAGTTCGATTATCATCATCATAAAAGCAGAGGTGACCAAGTTTAAATCTTTTGACTGCACAGTTCTTACCTTGAAATTTTCTGTTAGGAAATCTCTGTCTGCTAACTTTCAACACTGCTTTGTATAGGACCGATGGTTTGTTTGCTTGCTGGTTTGTTCTTTTCTTTTTGAATGAGGAAATGTGGGTGGGGTAATTTAGTCTATATTTTCTGAAAACTTTTGAGTATATTTCACAAATGAGTTGTTATAAAGATGCCTAAGGGTGAACTATTTTAACTTTTTGCAAAGCACTCTCTCTGATAAAAAAATACCTTTTTTAGTGTGTCATTTTTGGTCTGGAAAATTTGACAAAAAATCTCCAAAGCTTATTTCTTTTTTTTTTTCCCACCTTTGTTACTTGGTCTAATGTGAACCTTAACTTTATCTCTATAGAGTTTCCTAACCGATGAGTCAACTGAACCCTAACTAGTATGTAGTTTATTTCTATATTATATACTGGCATATCTGCCAAATGCTTTGCAAAGAAACCAGAAGTTAGTAAAAAATCCTTCAGTTAAAGTTAAACATCCATATTTTATGTAGTCTACTAATTCAGATAGCCAGACATTTGGTTAATATCCACCTACCTAATAGTATACTGGCATCTGAAGAAGATGTTTTCTTATTACTTTAGGACATTTCAGTAAAACACATTAGCCCATTTTTTACTATTAAACTAATGACACTGAAGATTGCATTGTACATTGGTATTTAAAATTCTTATGGTAGCCACTGTAAAGATCACAAGTTGATCCATGTGTTCTAGGATAAGATGGAGTAGTAAATGAAAGAGATAACATTTCTACTTATTTAAAACTTTAAAATTTATTTTCTTTAAGAGTCTACTTGGTGCAATTAGAACTTCCAGAGTTTTTGCTTAAATTAGAACTGTCAGAGTGAAGAAGATGGATTCAGTTACCAGATTAGTGCATTAGTGAGTATTAGATGCTGAACTTTAACAGAGTGCTTACATTTAGAAAGACAGCTCAAGAGAATAACAGGGGACTTCTTGGAGTTCTTTTTAGTGAAAAAATAATAACAATAATAAATAGTATCATCTTTAAAACATACAGTCAGTTGGAACTACATATATATATATATGTATATACATGAATTTCACAGAAAATTATCATGACATCTTTCCTGAATCTGAGGTGATTTTTTGAGGCTGTTTGTTTTGACAAAGTTGATGATAGTGTGATGGGGTAGATATATCAATCTGTAGAAAACATATGATCCAGTAATATACATATTTATGAGAAGGAGCCTAATAAAATATGTATTTTTCATAAACACATGCTACATCCTTATCTTTTTTGCAGAATGAAAAAAATGATACTTTTTAATTTAGATATTTTAGTTACATTTTAATCTTTTTGCTTTAGAACTTGCTATACTACGCTAAAAGTATTTTCCACAGCAGACTGACAACTAGAATCCTTAAAAATCATTGAATGTATCTGACAGTGTTTTAATTAAAGACGGACAAGAAAGGAATGCAGCGAATGTACATATGTTGCTGTAACTCAAATATACTCAGAGGAACACAGGTTAATTATTCATTTATTCTTCTGTCACTTTATTTTATACATTTGCACTATGATTAATTGTATTTTGTTCCTTTTGATTAACAGAAAGCAGTGATGTAGATGAGGAGACTATGAAGGCAAACTCTCAGGGGTTTATTGGATGTCTCTCTTCAGTGCAGTTCAACCACATTGCTCCTTTGAAGGCTGCGCTACATCACAGCAGCTCAGCCCCCATCATCGTAAAGGGACACTTCACTGAATCCAACTGTGGCACATTAACTGGAGCTGACTCAACATCCAGTGAAACAACCCACTCATTTGCAGGTAGCATATGGTTTCCACTTGCTAATCTCTAAAGCAACATCTAAGTAGAGGACTCATGACCTGCATCACTACTGGCCTTATTTTTTTTTTTTTAACATGTGTTAACACCTCAGGGATAATTTGAAAACTAATTTTCTTCTCTTTGTTCCTACTTCCCCTTATCTTGCCTTTGTCTTTTCCTCTGAACATTTTCATTTTTCTCTTTGTCTCTCTAAAGTGTGATCTACATCACTGATATTCGCACTCTTATAGAACTCACGAGTGCCACAGTACTGCATGTATGCTGCAACCATATGTGATTATCTTGAGAATCCTCCTTCCTTCTTTTTGTCTGTCATTTTCTTTCCTTTTTCTGCTGCAGATCATTCTGGACCAGTAGATGAGGGAGAGCCCTTAGCTAATGCAATCAGAAGTGACTCTGCAATTATTGGAGGTAATAGGGTCTATAACAACATAACTCAAATCTTAGTTTTCTAATAACTATGAGTCTTTCAATGCTGATGTGAAGTCAGTGGAAATTTTCTGTGCACAAGGGGAAAAAAAAAGACAAGAGTTTGGTTTTATTGCAAGTGGCATGTGTTGAAAGATGAAGATAGAAAGTGTGTTTTAAAGCAGTAACTTTCCGGTTTTCTTGAGAGTTGTGCCATCAGTGTTTCCGTATTTTGGGATACTCTGCTGAAGTACCAGACATTAAGAACAGGTTTTAATCCTGTATAATGCTATTTTTCTAAGACTTAGTAATAAGCTGTTTGGATGTGTTGTTGCAAATAGCATATGTTTTAAAAAGAGCAACGTTTGCTCTTCGGCTGTGTCAAAACAGTACTTTTTGCTACAAGGGTGAGTTCAAAGTGAAGTATCTCTGTTTAATATAACTCAGCAGCATAGAGATGTTTTAGGAGGAAATAGGTGGTTGCATTCCTTGAATTAATCTTTTGGCACTTTGAGATGTGTTTCGTTTTAATTATTATTTAGAAAACAATAAATTCTAGGGCAGAAAACCACTTTCACTAATTTAAGCTTATAAAAAAGTTAATGTTAAAATATATTTTAAATATTTAATTACTTTGATCTAAACTATCTTTTTTCACTTTTTTTCTTATCATTTCTTTTGAAATGATATCTAGTTCAAAGATAAATACAAATGATCATTCACAAACATTTTTTGAAATACTTATTTTTAATGAAGACACAGTGGAAGAACCACACACATTTTAGTTGCTCCTAAAGCAAATATGATGATAGTGCCTTTACTTGCCCTTACAGAAAATATTTGCTATGTAGCTTAGGAGAAAAGTTCTGTGCTTGAAATACAGGGCTGATAATCAGGATATACAAGTTAAATTACTATGTCTTCCTGACTGGCCATCATTTGAGCTGAGATCCTTACCAATAGCAACTGGGAAGCCTACCAGTTCTGCATCTTTAGATGCAAACACAGGCTGTGTGGAGAGTTAATGTGAGTCTTAACATGGAGAGTTTGGGGATATGGAGACCAAAGGAAATTTTCATTTCCCATCACTGATGCTGAATATGGCTTTGGCAGCTCAACGTTTTGTTTGTTTGTTTGTTTTTAATGAATGTTTGTGCAAACTTTCCCCTGTGAGATATTCTGGTGGTATTTCTTCCTTGGGGTGAAGGTGAGGGAACAAAACATGTTTTCACTCCTGAAATATGGTATTTCAACTCTGTAATTCAGTAGCTCTAGTCACTTCAACAAGAATAAGGAATAAAGATAGGGAAAGTCTTTGACCCTTTAAGTTTGAAATAGGTTTCTTTTCTAAGAGCCTGAAGAGCCTGAACAGACAACTCACATAATGAGATTTAGTGAAATAAAGCTGCCAAGGCTTCTCACAGAGGATAAAAGCATTTAAGAATTAAGACTGGAAACTGCTGTCACCTGTACATCTAACATTTAAATACCTGATACTTGCCATTTAAGTATATGCTAAGGTCAGTACCTGCTGACTTATGGTTCTATTACCTGCTAAAGAGGTAATAAGGGGTAATCAATTCTAGAAGCTCCCTTGCTTATACAGTATTATTTATGTTCGAATGGTTTGGAGCTGTTTATTCATTTGACTGTCCCAAAACAAGAATCTAAGGTAAAAGTATAGCAGCATTAGATTTGTAAAAACTAATAGGAGGTTCACTTTATAGTACTGATCCTCAACAGAAACAGATCTAAGTGATTATAGAATAAATATTTTGTAAATTATAATGAAAATACAGTGAACAAGTCTTTTTATACGCACAAACTTTGAGAAATTTGGCACTGAATTCAATGAAATCAGAATTTCAAGGGCAGTTTCTGAGTTTGGTGGGTCTAACTGCCAAAAATGACCTTATTGTTGCAAAAGGTATTACTTTACATATGTATCTGTATATAAAGATTGCTTTGTGTACTAGACAATCTAGTGTGGGTAGGTAATTCTAAGTATGCTAGCAACAAAGCCATTTGGAAATATGGACTCACAGATTTTGTTTTTTAATGCTAAATCTAGTTGTTTCAAAGACAAATAAAATAAAATAAAATAAAATAAAATAAGTAAAGAATATAGAATAAAAAGAACTGTATAATATACAGCAAAAGGCCCTTGTAATTTTCCTTAAACCAATATAATTCCAGTGAAAATTAATTGTACCATTTCACCTGCTTTGGATTTGAGCCCTTATACTTACTTAGATTTTACAGGCTAACAATGTCATGTAAATAAAAAAATCTATGTCTGTTAACATAAAAGAAATATGGCTCATATTAGAGAATGAGAAATGGAAAAATGTTGCGTTTTGGCTGCGAATGGATGGTCCATTTTTATCTACAGGACTCTACTTGAGGACTTGAGACAACTAGGAAAGGGGAAGAATGTCCACTTTTCGAGGAGGATTGGATTAGGGATTATTTAGAAAAACTGGACACCCATAAATCTATGGGCCCGAATGGAATGCACCCAAGGGTGCTGAGGGAGCGGATGGGGGTTATTACTCAGGCACTCTCCATCATCTTCAAGAGGTCATAGAGAGTGGAGGAGATGCCAGGGAACTGGAAGAAAGCGTCACTCCAGTCTTCAAAAACAGCAAGAAGGAGGTCCCAGGAAACTACAGGCCAGTCAGCCTCACCTCCATCCCTGGAAAATAGTGGAACAGCTCATCCCAGAGACCATGTCAAGGAAAAGAAGGTAATCAGGAGCAGTCAACATGGAAGGGGAAGTCATGTTTGACCAACCTGATAGCCTTCTACAATGTGATAACTGACTGGCTGGATGAGGGGAGCACCATGGATGTTGTCTACCTTGACTTCAGCAAGGCTTTTGACATCATCTCCCATAACATCCTCATAGGAAAGCTCCAAAGTGTGGGTTAAATGAGTGGACAGTGAGGTGGATTCAGAATCGGCTGGATGGCACAGTTCAGAGGACGTGAAAAACGGGAGGTCTAGTTGGAGGCCTGCGGCCAGTGGTGTACCCCAGGGGTCAGTACTGGGCCCAGTGCTGTTCATCTTTTAATCAATGACTGGAATGAGGGGACAGAGTGCACTCTCAGCAAGTTTGCTGATGATACCAAACTGAGTGGAGTTGCTGACATTCCAGAGGTCTGTGCTGCCATTCAGAGGGACCTAGATGGATTGGAGAGTTGGGCAGAGAGGAACCTCACCAGGTTCAAAAGGGACAAGTTCAGGGTCCTGCACCTGGAGAAGAATAACCCCAGAAACCAGTACAGATTAGGGGCTGACCTTCTGGAGAGCAGCTCTGAAGAGAGCGATCTGGGAGTCCTTGTTGACAACAAGTTAACGATGAGGCAGCAATATGCCTTTGTGACCAAGAAGGCCAATGGGATCCTGACCTGCATTAGGCGGAGCATTGCCAGCAGGTCGAGGGAGGTGATCCTCCCCCTCTCCTTCCTGATCCAGTGTCAGGGGAGGTTTCCATACAATCCCAAGAGCGAGATTAAGACACAAACAGGGTCAAATGCTATACAACCTTGTTAGCTTTATTCTCATAAACACAATAGGACAGAGAGAAGATGAAGAGAAAAAGAAAGAAAGATAAGCAAGCAAGTGGGAGAGATGCAACAAGCTTATAGTTACCACCACCACCAGTCCGGCCAAGTGTCGCTGGCTTCGCTTCGGTGCAGATAGAGGTGCCTCAGTGCAGGTAAGGTGCACACCTTGGTGCAAGTGATATTCAGGGAAAGAAGCTGGGCATCTTGGTGCAGGTGATGATCTAATGTCAGCTGCTCTGGTGGGCACTGCTGAGACAGGTCTCGAGCTGATCTTCCCAGAGACAGCATGCTGAGGCCAAGTACATAGCTGATATTATAGTCTTCCCATAGACTAGATACTGGGGTTAAGAAGTGTAAATGGGGAGAGATAATGCCCTTGTTTGGGTCTTGAGCTCGTCTTCCTAGAGACAAGATACCGGGGCATTGTTCAGGTAAATGGTATGTCAACAACATTGAGACAAACACAATCCATAACAGTCTCTTACATCTCCTCAGTTCTGGTGAGGCCACATCTGGAGCACTGTGTGCAGTTCTTGGCTCCCCAATACAGGAGGGACATGAACTTCTAGGGAGGGTCCAGCATAGAGTGACAAAGATGATTAAGGGACTGGTGCATCTATCTAATGAGGAAGACTAAGCGAGCTGGGCCTCTTTAACCTGGAGAAGAGAAGATTGAGAGGGGATCTGAACATATATGTACAAATACCTGAGAGGTGAATGCAAAGAAGATGGGGCCAAATTCTTCTCCGTGGTGGCCAGTGACAGGACAAGGGATAATAGGTATCAGTTAAAATACAGGAAGTTCTATCTCCATATAAAAAAGAACTTTTTTGCTATGCAGGTGACAGAGCCCTTAAAGAGGCTACCCAGAGAGGTTGTGGAGTCTCCTTCTCTGGAGATCTTCAAAACCCACCGGGATGCCACCCTGTTCCGCGTGCTTATGTAAGGGGGTTGGACTGGCTGATCTCCAGAGGCCCCTTCAACCTCAAACATTCTGTGTGATTCTGTGACTTTTTGGCATTAAGTATTTTTATTTTGCTTACAGTAGGAATTACCGTAGCCTACATTATTTATAAGATTATTCTACCTTGTATGGCACAACTACTGAACTACAATCATTTCTCAGACTATTTATTATTTTTTCTTCCCTGCAGTGAAGTCCTGCTTCCTGCCTCTCTGTTTGACAAGCACTTTCTGCTTCTTTTTCATTTCTTTCCTCTCTGAATTCCTTTCCTCCGAAACTCCTGGCTCATCAGCTTGAACAGGGACTAAGATCAACCTGAGGGTGGAGGGAGGGTGAGGGGAAGAGGGCTGGAAGTCTGTAGCCTTGCAAATATCCTTGCAGGATGTATTTCTTTCATCACTGCTCCTAACTTGTTCCTCTGGGAGCAGCATAACACTGGTAAACATTTCAATAAATTTTAAATATTTGTCTTTAAGATTAAGTGCCTAATATATGTTGTCTCTTGGATGTCAGATATGTAGCACTTACAATATCTCAGTAAATCCCTGTGTAAAGTTTTACTTATTTTGCTCGTTTCTTTTCTATCTGTTCAGCCAGAACAGTATAGTACAGGTGGCTGTAGTGATAATGCTTTTACCGTTTTGGATGGGATTATTAAAGATGCTGGAAAAGGAAGCTCACTGTCCCCTGGATAGGTACTGACTCTGCTCACTTAGCTTAGAACTGTGCTCAGTTCACCTAACAGTGCAGTGCACAGCCATATCTAGGATGTCAACTTGAGTGCTACAAACTTACAGGGAAACCAGTAAGACTTTTTTTTTTTCTTTTTTCCTTTTGAACACACAGTGATCCTTGTTTTTCACCCCTATCTTCTGTATTTTGTCTACTTTCTATTCATTGCAATGGGAAAGTCATGTAGATAGGAGCCTTACTTAAAGAAGATCATGAAAAACTTCAAAAGGAAAAGCAGTTAGGTGGAGTGAGTCTCTTCTACAAGGCAGATTAAATGTTAGATGTTTTGTCCCATTTGATCTGAAAGTAGGCAGCTATAAACCCTGGCCAATATTAACTAGAGTCCCTGTGATAAACTGCTGTACATTTTGCTTTCTGAATACTCCTCTCTAAAGGCATTTTTAATCAAGAACACTCACCTGTGGTCTGAACTGATTTGCATGGAGTACTGGTTACGAATGGGATTAATTTGGTGTAACCACACCTTCGGTTTTACCGTATACAGACAAAACTGGCCTGAGACCCATTTCAGGAGACGTAACGCTTTTTTCCTGTGTATCTCTTGTGCTCCACCTATGCTCTCCAGATCCCTTATTCAGAGCTGGAGCAATGACATGAGTAGATGGGCAGTGGAAGGCTGACATGGGTCTCTGTGTCCCCTTCCCTCCCAATGGGCAGGTGGGTGAGGAGATGAAGAGTATGAATAACTGAGGGAAGGAAAATACATTGTCTTGAGTGAAGAAGAAGAGCAAAGCTGGGATGGTGCCTTGTGTCATTCCATGTCCTAACCTGGTGGCAAAGTTCTTGAAGAGTAGTTCCTCAAGCCTGCAGTGGCTTTAGCCATGAGAGTGGCTGAGAGCTGGGTGCTGGTGAAGACAGCCACATGATTTACCCTAAATCTCAACTGGTTTTGCCTTCAAAAGTTTCAAAAATATGGTTTCTGTGTTAGGTTTTAGTATCTGTAGCATGTAAAATTGGAAATGTTTGCTTTGTAGGGAAGGTTGCAGTAATATTTCTGGTGGAAAAGCAGATATGGCTTCCTACTTCTTGGGCTTCTTGGTAGCCCACTTCACTATACAACAGTCTTTCTTTCTTTGGCCTAGTCCCTAGCCCATATTTTATTATTTGCATGTTCTGTTTTGTGACTTGTCTCTCTTTTCTCTTTGTAGGTGTGATAGCAGTCGTGATATTCATCCTACTTTGCATCACTGCCATAGCCATTCGCATTTATAAAAAAAAAAGCACCTATTCAAAAAATGAGCCAAAAGGATCTGAAAACGAAGATGGCGCTGAGTCTACACTGAAAAATGAGCTCAATGTGCAAAACCCAGCCAATGAAAATCAAAAGGAGTATTTTTTCTGATTGGCATTTGAGATTTAATTTAACATAATAATATGACAGTCTGTCTTTCTTGCCAAGCCAGGGGCTCTTAATGGACAGAAAAAGCTCTTGCACTCTTCAGCGAATGCAATGGATTTGAGACCTATTATACTGCATATGTTCAGTCTCAATGATTGCTATAGGAGGCCTCTTTAAATTACATGCATTCCTTAGCTATTATACTGTAAATGCATTTTATGTAACAGTGAATTAGATATTGTAACCAATTTCATTGTTGGTAGTTTCCGACTGTTCTGATGTAACCTTCTAACAACTAAAGTTTAACGTACATACTGAATATGATTTTTGAGTGGGAAAATTGTTATGAAGCTATTCCCATCCTTCTCTTTAAAATTTGATTCTAGAATTTTGTTCAAGGTTAAAGACGGATTTCTAACAGTTTATGTTACTAAAGAAATTCTGCTCTGTTGCTTTATGGTGATCCCTTTTACTTTTTGAACCTGAAAATGCCTTTTGAACTGCTGTTGGCTGGTGTCAGCATCTGCTTGTGAGCCATGAAGTCAGGTGTCCAAAACAAACTGTACTTTTTTTCTTGGGGATATGACCAATGTCCTTACTATCTCTTCTCTTTGGCAAGTCTATCAGGGCTTACCAGTGAAGGGTATACAGTGTGTTGATATGCTGTGAAGTCTCTTTTATAATAGGTTTTCATTCATGATTAAGAGGTGGCCTCAAGATAGAACTGTACATATTTCAAGCATTTTAAATAAAATGAGCACCACAGAAAATAGCATTTCACTTGCAAAGATGAAGTTAAATATTAATAATATTTAAATTATCAAGAGAAACAGCACCAAAAGATAGTCAAAATTATTTTTCCTAATAAATTTTGAGAATTAGAAATTACTTCCTCTGTGAAGCAGTAATGTGTCCTTTGTACAAAGTCAGGGATGTATTCTCTGAAAATGTTGCATCTCTGATCTTCTCCAGACCTACAGGTTAAATAATTCTGCTTTATAGAAAAAGTTCCTGGTTGCTATGGCATTAAAAAAGTAGAGAATTTAGAGTCTAGTACAATGGCTGATATTTTAATAGTTTGGCTCTTCACCCATAATAGTATCTATCTACTATACCTCAGTGAGATAATGTCTGAGTGCAAGTACCGCTCAAAATTAAACAGATATTCAGTATCTTCAGAATGTAAATAAAAGCTGTCTATGATTTTGTACAAAAGAATTATGGGACAAGCAGGGTAGGATTAAGTTGTCTAACCAGAATGTCACTTTAAGTAATATTGGGGATCTGAAATATGTGTAGCCTGGTGGGCATGTTACAAGATCTACAGAAGATATGTGTCCTTTAGAAGAGCATACTGAAGTTGAGTAGGACAAAGATGTCTAAAATGGCACTAGACACCTTCATTCAGGTCACTAGTTCCCACCCAAAAAGTTTTGTTTGTGACTTTTTTCAAATATAAAGCTATGTGCCTAGAACTTGGAACTAGCAAAGGATTCAGGACTTCTGAGTCTCTGAGGATTTGTAAGATTTACATTTCAAAATATTTAGAACTGATTTATATCTTCTCCCATTGAAAGCAGTGATAATACTCCTTTCAGTGAGAAGGAGCAGAGCTAGACCCTGTACTGTGAACTTTAGAAAATATTTATCATAGATAATTGAGAACATTATAAAGGCCCATGAACCTGAGATGATGTGCCAAAGTCTTCAGTGTTTAAATTACTTTACATATATTATAGATGTAAATAAATGTCAAGCTGAGATATCTTTGATAATATTATCCCTTAAAGTTTTAATGCTTAACTCCCTTAAAGCTTTAATGAAGATTTACTTCACTTTTAGGAAAAAAAGGTCAACCCCTCAATCTCAGCAAACAAAAATCATACAGATCATGATGAACAGGTATTTTGTTCTATTCATTTTTGTAGCTCTGGGTGCATCTCTACTTGTAAATGAAATTGATTTAGGACCTAAGTTGAAGAAGTGGGCATCCATACCATGTATGTGTTATTATATCCCATGGTACTGTTTGGTTTACGATAACTAGCTCACTTATAGAAAGGTAGAACCAGAATATGTGAGGGGAGGGATACTGGACTGTTTCCAAAATGTGATATGTGTGAACAAAACCAATTTAATGCATGAGGAGAGAAGGAGATGAAAAACACATGTCCTTGAGTCAGATCAGCCAGTCCACCCACTCTTTAGTGTACTACTTTAGACACTCTCAGTCTAGCCGGTTACTTTAAAGTATGAACTATGTGCCCTTCTCTTCAAAGATTTCATCTAGGTTGAATTTGAGAGGAGTCTTTCTAAAGACTTCCCTGCAAGTTAGTCCTCTAAGTCTCAGGAGTCTTTTGCTTTCTCATGGTAGATGTGCCAATGTCCACCCTCTTGCATCATTTATAACAACTCTTTTAACACTGACTTACTGTAAGAGCCCCAGTTATCCCTAATTTATTCAGTGCAGAAGACAGTGACTGTGGGGCAAAATTTGTGTGATGGTAATATTATAAAACATTAGACACTTCACGAAAAGGAACAATCTGTTTAATCATAAAACAGTTTTCATTTGCTACTTATAATAACCTAATAAATCCCAAAACCTGCCCACACCAGGACAAGTTGGAAGTTTGTTCAGTCTAAATTTCCAGTCATTTTTTTGTCTCTTCCATTTCTTAGTGATCTTGACATTGTGTACGTCAGTGGAGACAAAGATTTCTGACTTTTCTTTGTTTTCTTCCAAATGAACAGTAGTTTTTTTCACTATTCTGTAGGTCTTTTTTTAAAGGCGACAGGAAGGCAATACCTGAGTAAACCCCCAATTTCACAGAATAGTGAAAAGGGGCTGGGGATAAATGCCTGTATGAATGAAACACTATGACATTCAAAGATCTTTTTATGGCACTTTTTATGTGAAGAATTCTAAAGAGAAAAACAGGTAGATTTTGTTGAATACACTTCTATCTGCAGATTTGTAGCATACAGTAATCATATCTCTCAAAAGAAGTAAGGACCCATTTTCCTCCATAGAAAGAGTGATCATTTATTCGTTACCTGAATCCAGAATATACAGATTCATAGTCAATGAAGCAGCATTTTACATTATTTGCTGCTTTTTTGTGGGTACAACAAAATGGTGGCATCAACGTGAGCTGAGACATTGTACACCATTGTGCTGTCCCTCCTTTCCAGTGTGCGACCTTTCACCTCTATGTTAATAAAATAAACACTTTTTAAAATAACGTGAGGAAAATATTTTTTTTTTAAAAAAGTATTAAAAAGTTTAAAAGTGGGGACAATATTCTGATTTTTTTTAACAGTAAAGAAATGTAGAAGTGCACATAATATATTGATGAGTGTGGTTATTTATAGATGTAACAACGGAGTGCTAATGTAACAAATCCACTATACAGTGACACCTTTTCTGCGACAATTTTTTTTTCTTAAACACATTAGAAAATAAATAATAGCATGAGTGTTGGTACACTTTTAAAACTTTGACGGGTTCTCACTAAAAACGGGGTGTATTGTATAATCCCAACTAAAAAAAAGAAAAAAAACATGAACAATATTCAGCATATAAACATGATTTAGTCTGATTTGGGAAAAGCATTTGCAGCACAATACCATGTTGTATAGAGAGAGAATATGTAATAATCTGAGTGCTCAACTTCAGGTGAAACACACTAACACACTAACAGCCGAAATGAAATAAATTTAAAACACTGCTATTCATGGAAGTGAAATATAGGAAAGTAGTATGTAAGAGAAAACATTTCAAAGTTGCCTAAATTAGACTACAGATTCAGATTTAGATTCAGATACTAAGAAAACTGCAACAACAGTGTAAGATAAAGTCAAATGTGACTAAATTACTTTGACAAATAATTGTAAAAGTTTAAAATTCTGAGGAAGTTTTGGCTGTACAAACCGTATGATGCCAGAGGGAATATAAAGTGTTCTTTAGCAACAGAAAGTACTTGCTAAGTCAGGAAATTTAACGTAAAAAAAAAAAAAAAAAAAAAAAAAAAAAAGCATGTGGCCCGTTCTCTGGGTGCAGTAGTAGAACATGCAAAAATATACAAAAAGCACTAAAACTGCTAATAAGAGAAAATAAAGCAGGCAAAATAGGGGTGCCATGATCTTTATTTTTTTTTTAATTACCAAGAATTTTTACCTTATCCTCCTACATTAATATTGCCAAGAACTAGCACTATTTTGGTTACATAATCTAACCCTTTTAATCTCTATTCCCATCATTGACAAGAAATGAATCAAACATTATAACCACGTTGCAGGGTGGTGGATGCCTTTTCTCAAAAAAAAAAAAAAAAAGCTTAGCCAGTGCTCACATTTGTTTTTGTATCTATTTCTAACTTTCATCTGTGGTGAAATTCTGATGTTGCTAACATTTGATATAAATAACACTGAATAAATGAAATCTGAAGTCTTTATCAAAAGCATGGTAAATCTGCAGGAAAAAAATCTCAATACATACATGCATGACACACACGTATATACATGTGTGCAAGTAAATGAATCTAGTCAAAGATAGGATTGCTGGTATTTTACCACTTTCTTTATATAATATTAAATACTGAAAAAAATAGCTTAGAGTTCAGAAACTGCCTCACCAGTTTACAATATATCCAGTCTATTTCACAAAATGCTTAAGATGTCTTTCTTCAAGAAAACAAAAGATCCCTTAAAAATCTCTCATAGAACAAAAAATGTAGAGAAGTCGACAGAGAAGAAACTGGCAAAATAGAAAATAGAAAAAGACTCTTATACCAATACATTTAAAATCATCCTTCTACCAAACATTAAATCACTTTTAGGAAATATTCATATTTATACTTTCAGATTAGGTGAGGCAGGGAGCATTAGTGAGACTCCTAGAAGACTTCAGAAGGGAAATGACTACTCAAAATCCTTTTGATGTTCGAGGAAACTGCAGAGGAGTTGTCAATGGATTACATTAGATTTCATAAGGCACAACTTGTCATCCTGAATCACTATGAAACGAACTACAAAAATAGTGGTGTGGCCAGTAAAATGCCATATGGTAAACCTTGTGTGTTATACTTTTTAAAACAACATATTATTTAGTGTGTCTAGCTTATTCAGATATGCGCTAGAAATTGTTAATCCAAATGTAATGTAATCATTTGGAGTCTATGAATATTCTGAAAAGAGAGCATTTCAAGTAACATGTAAGTCCAACATTAACCTAACTGAGACACCCATCATAAAATCTTCAAAACAAAAAAAAAAAAAAAAAAAAAAAAAAAAAATAGATTGCAAAAGTAGATCTGCTGCAAATCACAAATTCAGCAATGGGTATCTGTTTACAGTTAAATTAGGTAGCTAACAGACTTTTGGCACAGTTCCATAATACAAGAAGTGTGTAGTATGAGGTCTAGCTGAGGAGTCCAAAAATATATATCCCATCTTTTAAATCTATAAAAAAAAGATATCAACCTCAAAAGATATCATTTGTACGATAGGGAGAAAATACTAAAGTTTTTAATGGATTGATTTATCGATATTTTTAATGTTCTTTGAAGAGGAAAAC